TAGTAACAAGAAGCTACTAGGTTGGAGGCCATCGCCTCTAGGTTGGAAGCCATTGCTATTAGTAACAAGAAGCTACTATGTTGGAGGCCATCGCCTCTAGGTTGGAGGCCATTGCTACTAGTAACAAGAAGCTAGTTGGAGGCCATTGCTACTAGTAACAGGAAGCTACTAGGTTGGAGGCCGTCGCTTCTAGGTTGGAGGCCATTGCTACTAGTAACAAGAAGTTACTAGGTAGGTTGGAGGCCGTTGCTACTAGTGACAAGAAGCTACTAGGGTGGAGGCCATCGCTTCGAGGTTAGAGGCCAAGGCTTCTAGGTTGGAGGCCATTGCTGCTAGTAACAACGAGCTACTAGGTTGGAGGCCATCGCTTCTACAAAAAACTACTAGGTTCGAGGCTATCACTTCTAGGTTTGAGGCCATTGCTACTAGTAACAAGAAACTACTAACTTGGAGGCCATCGCTTCTAGGTTTGAGGCCATTGCTACTAGTAACAAGAAGCTACTAGTAACAAGTTAATCCTATTGTTTTTTAAACATGCAGGTTTCGATCAGCTTTCCTTTGATCGAACAACATGTGGCCAAGGCACCACAGTTCGGGCACTGCGTTTGGGCGCCCGGTGCGACCGCCTAACGATGGACGTGAAAGGAAGGGTTTGTTGGTGGGGACACCAATAACTCTTGGATGGTGCGAATAGCATCCAATAGCTACAGGCGCACTAACGACATCAGCAGGGAGCACCCAACGAGTGAGCTGGATTTGCTGGTGATTATCTCTTTATGATGACTATGATGAGACTGACATTTGTTGGCAGAGGAGATTGCAGCCGCGTCTCCGAAGCCAACTATCTTCCATCTGTGAAGAAAGATGGTTCGCATGTTGGTTGCTTGTCGTGACATTCGAGCCGCTTGCTACTAGGTGTTGAACCCCGCAGCCGCAGCCACATGTGCGCGAATTGCGAAAAGCCCGCTTCGGTTGCATTTGCTTTCTTTTGAGGGTTTGCGTTTGGGTTGGTCGATCCCCCAATTGTCCGCATATTGGTAGCGGAGCCCTGAGGGGCTCCCGACCGGGTCATTTGGTGCAGCAGTGGTTTTGGGGTTGAAACATAGGCTGCCTGCCTGCACCCCCTTTGTCGATGGCGACGAAGACTGCTGCATCCGCCAGACCTGGAGTCTTAAGGCTGATCCAGGGCGTGCTTCAACAGACACCGGTGGGCCTACGGCTGTGGACACGCCACCGCCGCCTGATGTTCCACCACCGGATCCTTGGCAGCAGCCGAATGGTGATCCTTGGAAGACTGGGAGTGAGGGTTCAGTGACTTCTCCATCTCAAGAGGATTTCGAGCAGCACAGCGGCTTCTTGTTCGTGCTTCCCTCTACGCCTAGATATCTTTCACAGTGCTATGCCAAGGAGATCGAGAAGGCCCTTCGTCACCGATGACAGAGGATCCGGAGGTCAGTGCCGTGTCTGTGGTCTCGCTGTATGTCCTCAGCTTCGATGGCATCTTCCACTAGAGCCTCTTCAACGACCTCACGCTTCAAGAAGAGAGGAAGCGGCAAGGGCCATGGTGCTCATGTCGCGATGGCAGAAGATGATGGACTGCCATTTGATGATGATGAGGAGGCAGATCTGGAGCATGATGAGGCCTATGCACGAAGAGCTTTGTGAAGAAGACATGCCGGAAGATGGCAATGAAGACGATGAGCCGGAGGAGGAGTCGGTGACGCATGAGGAGTTGAACGAAGCCTGGGCTGCTGGTTGGCGTGCAAAGGATCAAGTCGCTGAGAAGAAGAAATGGAGGAGCTTCAAGCTGAGCTGTTCGTAAGCCCGACGGGCCTAAACAGCACAATCCGCAATCCGTCTAAACCGCGAATTGCGCGCAATCCGTTTTAATCCGTAATCCTGGCTATAATCCATAATCCTACTACCTACGCCATATCCTAATGCAATCACGTCCTACCTAGTACTACCACCACTAGAAGCACTACTGCTACTACTACTACTACTACTACTACTGTTACTACTACTACTACTACTACTACTACTACTACTCCCACTACTATTACTACTACTGCAAATACTACCGGGAAAAGCAATCCCCGAAAAGCATCCTTCCAGTTTTCGGGGGATTGCTTTTCAACCTTACTTCTACCATCACTAGAAC